TATCTTGATTTAAATAGATTCATTTTGTGCAACCACTTGACATAATAAAATTCAGTAAACATAAACATAACATTTGTTGTAGGAGCCCCTAGCAACAACACACACATGCCCACACACTGGCAGATTTCCAGAAGTTATTTCTGAGGAGCAGTGGCGAAGCAAAGAGCTTCTAACACGTCTATGCATTGTTCGGCCCTGTTTACTACACATACACACACCTTCCACACAAATCACAGCTGCCACCAAGGGCCCGGAGTTTAATTGTCAGAAGTTTTAGGTTTCACTGGGGTTTACACAGCTACAGTATGGGCCATCGGCAGTTTATCAGGTGGGACATTAGGAGAATCTCAGCTGGTAATCAGGGTATTGTTTCCAGGAATGCACAACAAAGAGATTGCTGTGTTACCTCTGTCTGCTTTATCTTAACCGTTTAAAGAATGAAATTTAAACTTCTGCCAAGTCTAGCAACCGAACAATCCTGAAAAAAAGCAACTCAAACAATATTTCAACCAATGTCTGAGAGTGAATTTAGTATGTTGCTGACCTTCTCTCAACATGCCCACGCCCAGACATTTCACAAATCGACAGGCCTGGCAGGATTTCCTTCTCCTCTTGGTGATTTCACATTCATTGGACGCTGGGCAGCTGTATTCGATGTTACCTGGAACAGAAGAGAGAATATACAAACACATGTTTTGAAATTGCGGAGAAAATGGGGCATAATTCAGATTTGTGCTTCTCAAAACACTTATTAGGAGTGATTAGGGGTTGGGAACACACTGTGGCAGCCGACTGTGCAGGTTAAGCCCGATAGCATTCAGCCAGGTGCTCTCAGCTGCCACCCTCCATCAGAAAAAGGAAGCATCTGATGAGCCAGACACTAGATTTGACTCTTTGATCTGACAGCAGCTCAACCCGTTTGCCCTCTGAACCCATCTATAGTAGCCAGCTCTTGGACGCCTAAACACAGCGTTACCCTGCCAGGTCCTCGACCCAGGGCCGCAAGCCAACACCGCACAGGATGCAATCCCTTCAAAACACTCACACTGCTCCCCGCTGCTAATGCACGCACATCCAATGCCATATGTTATCTGAAGCTTTAAAGTCCAAACTCAAACATGTTGACTGTATACATGACACGCTGCAAGTTTAACCGCATATCAGCTGTTTGCAAACAGGTCTTTATTTAAAGCCTTTGTGCAGTTTGAGAGTTGGAAGCTGTGAGCTAACTGATCTGGCTTGTTTATACCAAAACATGCGCTCATGGTCCAACTGCATCTGCACCGTGTTGCTCGAAAAACAGGTTTATACGATGCAGGAAGGCATCATCAGTCATGTCCAACAAACTCTGTTACTAAGCATAAACCCTGCTAATTTCTCTCTTACCCTGGATGGTCCTCTTGAAGAACGCCTTGCAGGCCTCACAGGACGCCACGCCGTAGTGGTAACCTGAGGCCACATCACCGCACACCAGACACAGCCGCTTGGCCACTGAGCCCAGCATGAACTCACACTTCACTTGGCCTTCTTCTTCACCAAACCTCCTGGATAGAAGAACAGGATGAGAAGGGGAGACATTGAGAGGAATGTTCTCAGATAGTGGTATTGCTCTCATTTGACACCTTCAATGGAGCAAAACACACAAAATATGGGACGACACACTGTAAATACCAACCTGTTTGTTCCTCCATTGTTGGCCAACCCCGCCGTGTGACCGTAGAGGCTGGGGGAGTCCAGCCCATTGCTGTGACCGAGGCCCTTATTTGTCAGGGGCCCGTAGCTTGAGTTTGTGTCCGACGAGGTGCTTCCAGGGCTGGGTTGGGCCGGGCTGACGTCTCCCTGGGAGCTGGGGCTCGGGCTGGAGGGCTCACACTTTATGGAGGAGGGACAGGTGGGGTCCAAGCCCCTCACTGACATCCTGCCCAGGTGTCTGCAGGGAAAAAAAGTTGTAAGATTGCATACACACCTTCTTGTAATAGATATTCACGATGGCAAGAGATTGACTTTCAGGTCAGCTTTAGATAATGAGTCACCTTGGTCCAGTCATTACAGTAATATTAATGACCGGTAGTTCAGGTCTGTGGGCTGTGGGCTGTGATTAGTTTTATTAAGTCAGGCACCATTTGCACAGATAGTAATCATGTAAAGTAATAAGCAGCTTAGAGAAATCATTATCGTTAATTTATGGCCTTATATGTGCATTTTCAAAAAACAAACAGAACTACAACGGCTCAGAAAGCTCAACCCATTTAGGGCAACCATTCTACCTCCACCTCTCCATCTCTTCATGCCTTCATCTATGCATCCATCCGTCCCGGCCTTTTCTAAACCAGCCGTTTGTGATTTCCCACATATGCAAAGCTGCTGTCCATTACACTGCTTTGTTTTCGGAGAAGAAGACTGCTTAAGCAAACCTAGGGAAATCCCCAAACCAGCAATCATCCGCACGATTATAACCATTATATTCAATCCAAACAAACTTGTCTTTCCCTCTCCTCTGTTTTTCTCCCCTCTCTATTGTCTCTTTGTGTCAGTTACTCATCTGTCATGACCTGTCAAACGCTACAACAGTTAGCAGTTAACTCTTTTATTGTCAGAATATCTGGAGGCATCAGACGAGCAAATTCAATGAGACGAGAACAAACGCTTTGCAATATAACGATATCATTTCAGAGCCAGTTCATTTACATGGAAAATCAAAAATTCACGGCCTCTGTCACAAGAAGAAAAAAGTCATCTGATACCAGCTGAGGTGTACAGTGGGCTCGCAGGCATGTGATTCCCCCCCCCCCCCCCCCCCCCCCTCTCTCTCTCTCTCTCTCTCTCTCCCCCCCCCCCCCTCACACACACACACACCATGGTGTGGATGTAAAAATAAAAATCATAGACGGTCTCCCA